TCAGAATTTGATCAGGAAATAATATTAAAAATTAAGAATAAAATGTTAACAATATTATATCGTTCCACTGTGACATCGTCCTCAAGATCATCGGATCGATCTGATATCAGAGTACTCAGAGGAGAAAGAACAATAAAGTGCTACTTACGGAAAACGGTCAATCAATATTTTATAATAAGAAGGCTAGAAGGTTAAGATGGGTGGGACTAGTAACCCATCCATTAGGAAGCCTCAACACAAAAATAAATACCTCAATAATGGACAAAAGACCACATTAAGATAGAAAACCAAAACCCAGATGAATCAACAAAGATGAAATAGAGTTGCGTGCAGATAACTCGAAAGAAATATCCCATGGTATGGCGAAATGGATATGACAGGTTGAGACGGAAAAAGATATAAAAGGTATGTAATGTCATTAGAAAAATACTGGGGCAAGATATCAAAGATTTTTATCAAAATATAATACACAAATTCTCTAAAATATTATTATTTCTTGTAATATAAGTTTTAAAGACTATGTTGTGATATCGTGGGTTTACAAGTGAAACACACTCAGTCAAAATTATCGATTTTCGGGTTTTCAGCTTTATGAGCTTATGCGAGAGCGATGTAGTAATAAAAAGGTGTCATTGCTGTAACTTGATTCAATAATGCTTATACCAAAGAAGTTAAAAGAAAAAATCTTTGTACAACCTTTTCTCAAAATCGTACCTTTTTTACTTTAAATCGCAAGCAGAATGTGATTTTATGATGATAAAAAAAAAGAAATTAATTTTTATTTAGGATATTTAGGAGTTCTAGCATTGGCCAGATTCTCCACTCAAGTCATGAGTGTCTGTGGCTGTAGCGCTCTTACTCACCCTCCGCTGGTCTTAAATACCAGTGAAGTGGCTGAGGGAGAAGCGTAGGGATCTCCTAAGCCTCCCTTTTCCCTCCACATGTGGAGGGGACAGGATTGGTTCGGAGATCACCTGGCTAATTGTAAATAATGTATATAGGTATATTTTATCTAGTATGTTTGTTTTACTTTTATTTCTATTTTTACTTATTTATGTGAACATATATATATATATCCTCGCGCGGGCTCATTACCGCGTATGGGGAGCGTCCCACGGGTGGCGGATGTGGGGATGGTCGGTGGAAATTCCTTGGAAGTTCCTCCCGGCTAAGTCCGATGGACTCGCTGACCAACAATGAGAGGGGCCCTCCAGACTTGCTGGAGGGAGGGGACCTCCAGACTTGCTGGAGGTAGGGGCCCACCAGACTTGCTGGAGGGTGTGACGTAGGATTGAACGCCCTACTCACATATCTTTAGTTCACCAAACACCACAAAAAGTCATGGATCTCCCTAAGGTAAAACGCTCATTATCCGGAGGTAAACTAGTCCCCCGTTCGGGTCTCCGGGTGGGGACTGCTTTAGGGGATTCATGCCGCAAGTTGAAATATAGGGATTTAAATATTGGTACGTGGAACGTAAGGAGTTTAAACACAGCAGGGGGGCTAAAATCGGTCGCGAATGAGGTAAATGGGTACAATTTGGATGTCGTGGCTCTGCAAGAGGTTCGCTGGCCAGGGGAGGGCTCGATGAGGGAAGGAAAGTACACTATTTGGTACGGAGGAAGCGGGAATCATTGTTTAGGTACCGGGTTTCTAATTAGGAGTAGATTACTATCCGCTTTGAGGGACGTACAATTCTTTAGTGATAGAATTTCGGTAGCTACATTTCAGGGACGTTGGTTTAAAATCGCATTAATAAACATACATTGTCCGACCGAAGACAGTGACGATGAAGTCAAAAGTGAATTTTACGATAAACTCGAATGGGTTTATGATAAACTACCGCGAAACTACATGAAAATAATTGTAGGTGACGCGAACGCAAAGGTAGGAAGGGAAGAAGTTTATATTCAGACGATTGGTAAAGAAAGTTTGCACGAATATAGTAATGATAATGGGATCCGTCTGATAAACTTTGCCATCTCGAAAAACCTGGTAATTAAAAGTACGACGTTTAAACGTAAGGATATTCATAAATATACTTGGACATCGCCGGATTCGCAAACACGAAATCAAATCGATCATGTCTTGATACAACACAGCTGGCAAAGCAGTATAATCAATGTACGGTCTTATCGCGGAGCAGAATGTGGGTCGGATCATGAATTAGTAATCGCGAAACTTCGACAAAAACTTAATATAAAAAAGAGAAAAGAAAACCGTTTCGATTTTGAGAATTTTAATTTGGAAAAATTAAAAAATCCATCAATTAGAAACCAATTCGAGCTAGATGTTAAGAATAGGTTTGAAGCTTTAGAGCTTCCTGACGAGGACCACGAGGATATTGACAAGTTATGGGTAGAGATCAGGGATAATATTAAAGCGGTCGGTAACTCGTGTCTAGGAAAAAAGGAAAATAAGAATAACAAACCGTGGTTTGATGAAGATTGCTTAAACATGTGCGAAAAAAGGAAAGCCGCTAAATTAAAAGCTCTAAATAATCCTAGCGAAGAAAATCTGGAATACTTCCGAATCTCAAAGAACGAAACGACAAAATTGCTCAAAAATAAAAAAAAGCAGTATCTTAAAAATAAAATAATTGAAATAGAAACTAATAGAATCCAAAATAACGTAAGAGACATGTACAAAGGTATAAACAGATCACGTAAATATGTAGGGCCCGTAACGTCTGGAATTAGGGATGATAATAACAATATTCTGACCGATCCGGTTGACATATTGAATAAGTTTAAGGACCACTTTGACAATATTTTAAATACGGGAAATTATGATCTGTGTCCTCCTTCTGAGTACCGGAGTGCTGAACCGTTAATAGAAGGACCAAGTAAAGAGGAAGTTGAAGTAGCTATCGGTAAATTAAAATCATATAAAGCAGCGGGAATCGATAATATTCCTACTGAACTAATTAAGGCATGCGGAGAAGCTGGAGTTTCTAAAATACATCGGTTGGTTAAAAAGATCTGGGTGAACGAGAAATTACCTGAAGAATGGAAAGAATCTATTCTTATTCCGATTCACAAAAAGGGTCCGAGGACGGATTGTAATAACTATCGAGGAATTTCACTCCTTCCGGTATGTTATAAAATATTCACTTCAATCTTAACCAGTCGAATCACGGAATACGCCGAGGAAATTATCGGAGACTACCAATGCGGATTTAGACGGAATCGTTCGACTATTGATCAAATATTTTCTTTACGGCAAATATTAGAGAAAAAATTGGAGTATAACGGTATTGTTCACCAGCTGTATATAGATTTTAAAAAGGCTTACGATTCTATTGACCGCCAGAAACTGTATAATATTCTAATCGAGCAGGGAATTCCAAAAAAACTAGTAAATCTAGTCAGGATGTGCTTGACGGAGACACTCAATAAAGTCAGAATCGGTAATAATTTGTCCGAAAAATTTGAGGTTCGTTCGGGCTTAAAACAGGGGGATTCTCTTTCGCCTGTCCTGTTCAATTTGGCATTAGAACATGCCATTAGGGAGGTAATGCGTACCGAGAAAGGGTTGGATCTGGGCGGGACAACATCCGTGCTGGGCTATGCTGATGATCTGGTACTGTTAAGCGAAGACGTTGAAACTATAAAACTAAATACGACAACGTTAATGAAAGCCGGTAAAGAACTAGGACTCGAAATAAACGTGGATAAAACAAAATATATGGTTAGCTGCAAAAATGGCGATACTACTGGTGATATCGATATAGATGGTAATATGTTTGAACAGGTAGATAAATTTAGGTATCTAGGTTCTACGATAACTAGAAAAAACGAAATTGAAGAAGAGATTAAAGTTAGACTGAAGGCGGGGAATGCTTGTTATTTTTCTGTGACAAAACTACTCAGTTCGCGCCTCTTGTCCCGAAACTTAAAAATTAGAATCTATAAAACAATTATCTTGCCTACAGTTCTTTATGGATGCGAAACTTGGCCGCTTACATTAAGGGATGAGCAGCGTCTTAAGGTTTTTGAAAATAAAGTATTGCGTAGAATATTCGGACCGAAGAAGGATGAGTTAACCGGAGAGTTCAGACGGTTACACAACGCCGAACTGCGTGAGCTATATCCGGGTAATATAATTGAGGTAATTTCATCGCGGCGAATCAAATGGGCTTGTAAAGTTGTTGGGCTTAGTAACGAGAGAATTCCTAAAAGGTTAATATTTGCTGTGCCGAATGGTAAGCGTCGGAGGGGTAGACCGAAGCGAAGGTGGGAAGATTGCATTAAAGCTGATCTGAAGGGACTGGGTTTGGACGGCGAACGGTGGAGGGAGGTGTGTAACAAGCGATTGGTGGTGTCGGCATCGAACCTTCGGGTTCGCTAAGCCTTATTATTATTATTATTATATATATATATATATATATTTTTTTTTTTTCTTTAGTTCTTTTTCTTTTGTTCTTTTTTCTTATTCTTTCTTATTGAATGTACTCTCTGAACTCTATTATAAGTGTCCTTAACTGTGACAAATTGTAATATTTCTCAATAAAGTGCTTAAAAAAAAAAATTTCATTTAACTTGTTACAAGTTTTTTGTAACGAAGTATTGTTGCAAATCGTTACATTTAATTTAATTTAACTTTCTTACCAGAAAGACAAACGCTTTACTGTAAAATAAGATAAAGAATTATCTAGCGTAAAAAGTGTTGGAGCAGGAATTCCACAAGACAGTATATTGGAACCACTGCAATATTTTGAATGCAGACTTAACAACCTAACAACGACCAGACTTTGCTGGGAACTTTCCTTGAAATATTTACAGAAGTAATAACTTCATCAACAGAACATTTTTGAAATACTGAGATTCCAGATCAATCCGGTTATCCTGTAGAGGACTTTGGTCTTCTTTTGGTTCCTCTTTCAAGGGTACAGTCTCAAATCATTAATTGAGGGTATTGTGGTATTGAGCTATTCGACTCTATCAACTATCACGACCGATTTTTCATCTAGGCTGGAGGGGAAGTATTTATCTACTTACTATCATATACGATTGATTCCGTTGTAAACACCTCCATTTTGTCGCGACGTTGTTCTTTACGACCATCTTCTGGGCCAAGTCGAACAGCAGCAATCCATCTTCCTGTCGCCATCCAGTTCTAACTTTGAATGGTTTTTTTATCGGGACTCGGAATTTATATATGATACAGCATACATCGCCACGGAGAGTCTCTCTAAATGGGTATCGTTCATAATTACAAGTCGGGTTAAACATACACCAATCGAATAATAAAAGTAATTTATAATAGACGGTATTTAAATGAAGTTATTGATGGTATTTGTTAAACTGCTTTAATATTCATGTTATTCAAAGAGATGTAACAAGGTTATGGAAAAGTGGGTTGAGCTAAGTGAGAGGATTGTGAAAGTTAATCTTGCCACCGGAGGAGTATCATAGGCTACAGGTTTCATTTATCTATATTTAACTTTTTCCAATTCGTTAGTTACAAGCCCTAATAAGCTGCCTTCCCTTTCATCAATGAACATTCTAACCTGTCGCAATTCTTTTAAAATTTAATATTTTCTATAAAAACCCACGAAGGGTCTTGGATTCAGTACTTTGTAAGGGAGTACTATTTCAAGACTAATGGTTGCGATTGGGCCGAGATCACGCTCAAGGATTTTACCTTAATCATTTATTTAATTAGGTGTTCTCAATTAATAGGGGATAAGAGTGACAAAAGGAGAGTATTCTGATCCCAAGGTCGATCCAATCCTGATATAACTGAATAAATAATTATCGAAATTCCGAGGAAATTTAATTTGAGGAGAAATTACGCGAGACCTTCGGAGAGAAAGTTCACCGCCAGAGGCTTCTGGTTTGGGTCTCGATGAAAGATTCCAAAAAGAACAAGGTGCTTCCTCGAGAAACTAGATATTGGGGAGCTTGTGATATTGGCCGAAAATATTATTCTGGACTCCATGGGGATAATCCATTATCACTTATATAGTAATTGAGGATGTATTTTATTAATTATTATAGACAATAAATAGTGTTATAGACAATAAACCAGTTCCCTCAAAAACACATCTTGGACAAAAAACTCACCTGGAACATTCACACTAAATTAAAAAAACAAGAACTGACCAGACGATACAAAAAACTGTCACATCTTTTGGACTACAGATCTTCACTCAACTTACTAAACAAGCGACTAATCTACACCTCTATACTAAGACCTATTTGGACATACGGAGCAGAACTTTGGGGTTCCGCAAAACATACACACATTCAACAAAATTCAAACCACACAATCCAAAATACTTCGTAAAATCGTCAATGCTCCTTGGTTTATTTCAAATCACACTATACAAACAGACGTGAACATACCAAAAGTAAAATCCTACATACACAACAAGTACACAATATTTTATTCTTCTACTCTCAACCATCCAAATCCACTCGTTCTATCTCTATCTTACTCCCTGTTACCTAGTGAGCCTCAAAGACGACTAAAAAGGCAGTAGCCGAGAGATCTTCTGCTGAAAAGTTAAAATATCAAGAATTGAAGAAGACAGAATAAACTTCAACACATTTGCTTGATGCGCTACAATGCAGTGGCAAATTTAATGAAAAAATAAATAAATTATTAATTCATTTTTTAATTTTGGTTAGCATCGCCTGATCTTTTATCTTTTTGGAATTACTTTGGTGTATATGTGTGCGATTTAGTGTTGAGTTCCTGGTGTTTGAATTGATTTCTTTTTTTTAAATATATGTGTTATGCAATGTTAATAGCTTGATATGGTTTATTGATGATACTCTACAGGACTAGTGTTATTAAAAGCGAGAAAAATGTAAGTACCTATACATATATATATATATATATATATATATATATATATATATATATGTATATATATATATATATATATATGTATGTATATATAATAATAGAAAAATGTAATGTTATATTTATGACCACATGGATTGATTAGTATGCTGTGTATAAAGCAACCGTAAGTAGTAGGGCAGCTTTATTTTCAATTAAATATTTATTATTCCTGAAAAGATTTTTCGTTTAATTTTTAAATTTTAATTATTATATGAAATCTGTAATATAAAGATATCATTACAGAAGCGAACCACGCTATCGCTTTTTTACGTCTTTGCAAAACTTTAAATGTCAGCGAAAGGTGGACAAACATGGAAAGATACTACTTTAAATTTTAACACAGTTACATGTTAAAATTAATTGTAAAATGTTGAGAACATAAAGATAATACCCACTTGACGACAGAACTAGAATTTCTAAAAGAATATGGCCGATAGTTTATCGCAATAATGTATAGGGGTACCCCTAGCTACACCCACACTTTCTCTGAGGCAGATAAAATTACAATTATGTTTTTCTCATATCGGGTAGTACACTTATGTTATTTTTGTTTTATACTAGATAAATGTAATATATAAATATAGTTTTGAAGAAGTATAAACTTTCCTAGTTCCCTCTTCACTGAAATTCGATAGCTATGAGCTCATATACTGCGAACTAATCACATACTGATAGGAAAACAATCGTTACAGAAATGTAACTATATAAAGGTATCTAAATCTGTACCTTGAGGAGGAAAACCATATCAGAAACAATTTCAATCAGAAATATTATAGCAGATGACGTCATAATCGATGAGGTTGTTGTTGAGGAGAAATAAAATCCGATTTATCCGCAAAATGGGAAAGCTATATTTAGCAATCCTTCGCTTCCTCATAATACCGGCTTCGGATTTCGGTTATAACATTTTAATACGGTGGCCGATATAATATTTTATTTTTCAGCTAGTAGGAGACAAACTGGCTAAAAAGACTATGAAGTAATTTTGTCAGTGAGCCGATCAGATTTTGGCAGAGTTCTGTAAACAAAAATTAAAATTGGCCCCGTGTAGAGTGAAGGTAAGGATTTTTTTCTATCAACTTCTCTTACAGCCAGAGACCAGATAGATTAAACTGATTATTTTAGAAGATTTGTTAATTGTATTTGACTGCATATAAGTAACTCTATACCGCTTCCCTTTAAAGTCCCCTCGCCTGGTAGTAAATATTATATATAAATCTGACTGGTATTATTTTGGTATTTTTTTTATTTATTTACCTTTGAATAAATTTTATTTTTGTTTAGTGAATAAACTTTTTGATTATTGTTTCATTTTATTTTATCTTTTATGTTTATACAATGTGAATGCTTATAGTGCCTCAGTATACCTTATTTTATTTACACCCTACCCTGCCAATAAGGCAATACGGGTGTTATGCAGTAGTGAGTAGCAACGCATGCGTTACAATTCACTACTGCATTCAGACCAATTACATTTATTTTACAGCTGTGCACACAGCCTGCTCTTTTTTTTTTTTTTTTTCTTCTCTTCGTTTCTCTTTTTAGCCAGCATCTTCTTCCACCCTCTCTGGCGGTCTTCCGGATGCTAGTCCATTTCTTCTTCCCAATGAAAAGTGGGTTGACCCAACCTGTTCCTTCCACCCGTATACGAATGCCTTGTAATACGGATATTTTTCCTTTGTCATAAGTTGAGGGAGATCGCTCTCCATCAGAGCGTAGAGCCCCGTCTCCCTCAACAACTTAGCCCTCAGTGCCTCAAAGGCGGTACAGACAAGGATGATATGCTCGGCGGTCTCCGGCACTCTGCAACTTGGGCATAGGGGATCGATGTTCTTGCCATATTCAGCGAGCTTTGCTCGGAAACCCCCATGCCCTGTGAGGAACTGTGAGACCCAGTAGTCCGGGAGAACCCATGTCTGTTCCATTCTTGAACCAACGGTGGGGAAGTATTTTCTTAGCGTAGCCCCTTTTGGCGTCGTCATCCACCGCTGGTTCCATTCCTTTAATGTGTTCTCCCGAAGAATACTCTTCCATCTATTAGGGTCTTCACTGATCCTCACACGAAGATTCGCCGGTAGATCCACCAGGCCTTCCCTCTTCATCTTATGCCGAAAGTATTCTTCTCGTAGGAGAAGATCAATAGGAGTAGTTCCGGCTAAGACTTGTACCGCCTCATGAGACACTGAACGGTACGCTCTAGTGACCCGCAGCAGAGCCATCCGCTGGATTGTTGCCAACCTTTTCTTCTGTTGGCGCGAGAGATGATGACTCCACGCAGGGGACGCATATCTCAGGATGCCCAGAATAACTCCTTTATAAATAGTTAACGTGGCTGGGTACCTGAGACCCCAAAAGGCGCCCCCGATGCGAGTAAGTCCATTGAGAGCCAGGGCTACCCTACCTTTCATGTAGTCCAAGTGAGGCGTAAAGTTGAGATTTCTCCCAATTCTTATGCCAAGGTAAGTAACAGCCTCACTTGGACGTATCCTTTCTCCTTCTATTCTGAGAGTAATAGGGTGGGCCCTGTCAGTCTTACCTCTTAAAAGAATGGACTGGGTCTTAGCAGCCGCCATCTTCATCTTTTTTCTCTCGCACCATCCTCCTACGAGGTTGGCACATCGTTCAGCTTCTTCTTGTAACCTGGCTCTGCTGTTTGAGGCCACTACAACGGCCAGATCATCAACATAGGCCGTGGCGGGGAACCGCTCCTGTTCTAGTACCCCCAGCAACTCATCGAAGACTAATTTCCACAGGGCTGGTCCAAGAACCGAGCCCTGCGGACAACCTCTTTCCATCGACTCTTGTACTTCAAAGAAGCTACCTTTTATCTTCAATGTTCGGTCCTGGAGGTAGCTCCTTAAAAGATCATATACGTTGCTGGGAGCCTCATACTTCTGCAACTGCTGGAGTACGCTCGGCCACCAGACGCTATCAAAGGCGGAAGATATGTCGAACAGGATAAGCATGACATACTTCTCCGCCTTCTCTTCAACGTCACGGCGCACTCTCAGCAGGGCATCTGCGGTTCCCCTGCCTTTGGTGGATCCGTACTGCCGTGGATGGCTAGCCCTAGAGAAGACTGGTCGTAGACTCATCATCAACAGGGTCTCCAATAATTTACTCATGATAGGGAGGAGGCATATAGGCCTATAAGATTTGGCTAATTGCTTGTCCTTGCCTCCTCCCTTGTAGAGGAGTCTAACATCAGCAATTTTCCAACTCTTAGGAAAGTATCCCCTGTCCAGACAATCATTGAA